CTAGAAGCTTCTAATCTATCAAACAAGAGATGTAAAAATATCTACACTGAGAATACTAGACGCCTTTTCTAAATCTGCAGAATTAAGGCAACAGAAGCTCAGATGCTTCCCCTCCTTTGAGCCTCCCTCACAAGCCTGAGCACCCTTTCCCAGACGTGACTTTCAAACACTACCCCAGGACTTTATGATGAGCGGAGCGGGACCTGATAGCACTTAATCCCAGGCGCAGTAGCCTCACACCATCCCACGCAGTGGAGCTGGAGTGGAGCATGGCTGCCTTCCCCAGGAAGGCTTCTTCCTCTGCCAGCACTGGGGCAAAACTTTGCAGTGCAGATTTACTTTAAAAACTTATCTTAAAATTGACCAATACAGAAAACACCAAGCTCAGCCCGAGGTGAGCGGGCTATGCAGCAGGGCCCTGCCAGGGGCCAGTACCAGTAGGTAGGCTGTACCAGTAGGGAGTACAAACAGGCTGAGTACCCAGCCCTCGTGCAGTCAGGGGTATAGATGGGCACATGGGCTACATGGCCTCATGGAGCTGGTTTGGATTTTTGGGAACTGGGGGAGCACTCAAGGGCATTGAGGAGGGTGCTGGGCAGTCCCTGGACCGCTCCAGAGCAGCCAAGCAAATCTCCAGGCCTTTGGGGTCTATCTGCCACCAGCATCTTCTCAGCAGGAAAAGGGGAGCAGCAGGACTTTTGCTTCCCTGAAATTCTTGTAGGATCCAGAGAGTGGCTCCATCGCCTCACAGGGCTGAGGGCTGTGGCTGGGAGAAGAGTACAAAACCCAGCTCTTTTGGCTTTACCTTTATAGAAATCTCCCAGAACTCTGGCTTTGAAAGGAGCAAGCTTCATCTCCCTGTGCAGATGGGCATAAACCTGCCGGCGCAGGCAGCACTGGTGGTGCCTTGCCATAGGCAATGCTGCGAGACTCCTACTCCTCAGGCAGCGCCTTGACCTGCGGCAACCTTGCTGCATGCTTGTGAGGGATCTCTGCATGCTAGGGCATTTTGGACACCCGTCCGTTTGTCTGGGGAAGTAGACTGATTGATGGCTTTTCTTTTTTCAAGTGTAAAAGGAAGTAAAAACTTTATTTCTTTCTTCCTCAGAGATTATTTACGAGACGTTGTCTCAGATACTGCCAGCTGATATCCTTTGGCGTCACTACCACTCAATGCACTGAAGATGCCTCAAGGTGTGTCAGTCGTGCTTCACGTCGGCGTGCCTTGATGTATCTCTTTGGCTGGGATTGAAAGGTACAGTTTCTAAATCTCCCGGTGACCCATTTTGCATGGATCACTGATGCGCTAGAATGTAGCTGCTCCTTCTCATCGTGTTAATGCAAGTTTGCCCGTGTTCAAAGCAGCCTGTGCTCCACATGCTGCACGGAGCACACAGGGAGAGCTTGCATTTGAGTATCTGGGTGAAATGGGCACGGCTGCTCACCCACAAGTAACTTCCATAAGTTACATGCTTTAGGTGCTTCCACTGCTGTATCATGGTTCTTTTACTTAAACTCTAAATTCTTCGGCTTGATAAACACAGGCAGGCAGCTGGATTACATCCTTCTGGGGCTTGCAGTCAGGACGCACAGTGAATGCTCCCAGACTGTGGAGGCACCATCTCCTCCCCAGTCCCATGCCACCCCCCAGGCTAAGCTGGGCAGCAACGCTCAGCACTCAGTGCGTCAGCAGGAAAAGGACCAAAGCGCCTGTGGGGGAGCAGCTCAGCACCACCCATGGTCACAGGCTGCCTGCTGCAGTGCCCTTGAAGCCAGTCCTGGGGACGGCCCTAATGAATACTTCCAGCCCAACCCTGTGTCTCCCCATGCTGTGCCAGCTGCGTGCTGCCCTGTCTGCCTGTGTGCTGGGCTGGCCAGGAGGGCGGCAGGAAGGAAAACCCTTGGGGTTTTGCCTGGAGGCCCAGCTGTGATGGCAGATGGGATTCATGGGCAGCTCCAGCCCCAGGCATGCTCAGGCTGCCTGAGAGGGCAATGCAAAAGCAGGGCACCTGCCTGCAGGGTGCCCTGGCCTTCAGAGCCCTTTCAAGACTGCCTGGCTGGGGTACAATATAAACCTGCCCCTGATTTAGTCCAGGAGCTGGTTCTGCTGGTGTGAGTCATTTAACCACACAAGCACCCCATGACTCTGACTCTCATTTCCACGTTGTGGCCTCCTTCTCCCACTCCACAGTGGAAATGATGGTCTGATCCTGTCCTGAAGCTGCATGGGCATGGACCACAGCAGAGAAATGTTAGGAAAACAAGGAAGCCTTCAAGGGGATTTCAGCTACATAGATGGCAGAATGAGTCTGGGTGAATGGGTCAGATCCTCCCCATCTTCTTTTGGCATGCACCCATTATCCTCTAATTTTATTTCATGGAAAAGTGGGTCTTGAAATTAATGCTGCGTTAAGAGGCGTGTGGCAGCTCATACCATCACATGTTGTGTTCTTGCCAAGCTACAACCGTATATTTGTCATTGTTCATATTTTCAAACTCTCAGTAAGAAAAAATTACGTAACAGCTTTGCAGTGGCTCGGCTGGGGGCACCTCACATCTCTCTGAGCCTTGTTTGCCAGGTTAAAGCAAACCAGGAATTCTAGACATGAAAAGTTTTTAATGAAAAATCAGACTGTGATGTAGCCACATGGTTCTGTCCTTTCCAGGGGGCACAACAGGCTCAGTTCCCTAAAACCATCCAGTAAGTCCAAATGAGCTGGGATTGCATCATGGGAGTGAGGGCTTAGGTGGGGACCTTGCTGCCTTTGCCCAAGTCTAGCCCTACTAGCATTTGTTTTTAACTTCACAGGGTTTTTCAACTGGGAAGTGAGGATACGGGCAGATGAACAAGTTAGTGCAGGGAAAACAGGGGGTGTGAAAGTTCAGCATCTCAGCTACTGCCAAGAAACTGCTCTTATGTATTCTTTAACCCCCTTATAAACATAAACTCACTTCCCTTCTCCCACAAGGGATGAGATATCTGACTTTTGCTCCAAGGTATTGCAGGGAAAGAGAGTGCACATGGGCACGTGCCACTAAAGAGCATGAGAGCTTCCCTGCTCGAAAGCCTTTGCCCCACAGTCACTTGCAGGCAGCAACCTGGCTTCACTGAAATTCTTCAGGTTTCAGCAACAGGAAATTGCAGATGAGAGAATGCGCTGTAAAGCTCACTTCCACAGTTTCAGTTGCAAGCTGTGAAAAGTAGCAGCTCCCCAAGCTCTCAGCTTTAACACTGCTATTGATACTGTTTTTTCTAATAGCACTGAGATCAACGGAGGATCAGGGCCTTGTTGTAGCAGACAACTTTCCAATGACACTCAAGAAACCCCATTCCAACTGTGGCATGGTTTGCTGTTTAAGCATCCTAGCAAACCCTCAAGCACACTACAATGTTCCAGCCACAAGAAAGAGGGTTAGGAAGGTGACTTTATTTTAAGACATAATTTTGAGGTTTTTTTTTTCTGCAGCAGAGGTGCCCTGAAATGCTGCTCACAGCAATGATAGCTGCTATTCAGAGGCCATGAGAGGACAAATTTCAGCCAGTACATTATTGCTTCTCTTCGGGGAGTCCCAGGGACTATTCTCAAACAGGTTTGCTTTGCAGTGCTGTGGGCTTTGTAAACTACCATTTAGGCATTTAGAGAACTTAACACCACTCTGGTTTTAATTCAGTGTGTGGTAGTACAAAGATAGGTCAAGAGGGTTGAATGAACTCCCTGCAGCAATAGAGCCTGAAAAGTGTTCCCCCTCAAAGCAGCCAGGAGAGGGGTGGGCACATGGCTGGCAGGACCAAGGTTGGCTGATTTCTGCCCCATGGTGAAGCAGGGAACCTTCCTGCTCTCTGCGGACAATAGGCCCTGTCCTGGGAGCGAACTGGTTTCAATATGGGGCTCTCTATCTTGATCCAGTTTGGATGGGTCAAGACATGTTGAGACATGCCCTTTCAATATGCTGCATTTTATTAAAAACAAAGTAGCTGGTGGCCAGATTGTAAAACTAGGTGGGCCTCATTTGTCTGTCCCTACTGTAAGCCAATGAAACCTTCAACATATCCAAACTCCCACCTTTTTACCCATTTGAATGAAAAAACATCACTAATAAAAGAAAATGACTCACCTAATGCTAAACCTGAGCTCTGTAGATCAGCTTTGATCAAATTCACTGACATTTAGATAACTGCATTATTATAACTAAAACATCTTTTAAAGGTTTTTTTTTTCCAGACGCTCATTCTTTAAACTTTGCTTTGATCACTCTGCATATCCTTTTCAGCAGAAATTTGTCCACAGAGGGTGAATTTTTTTCATTTGTTTTTCATATGGATTCTCTTTCCTTTGTTCATATTTTAAATCAGTGAAGCTACCCTTCAAGCTAACCCTTGTAATAAAAATGCAGCTACTGTGTGGCTTTTAACAACTCATTTAACCCATCTGCGTCTCAGCATTCTTGTTAGCAACCCAAGGAAACTAACACTTATTTATGTAATGAGGCTGATCATGAGGCTTAATTAGATATTTTTTTGGTTGGCTAAAGTAAACATTTCAGAAGGGCAGGGCAGGGAAGTGGTAGGCTCTGTTACAACGGTCAAACACCACCAATTTGTAATGTTACAACAGTAGTGTTACAAAATGCTATGTATATTTCTTTCAGAAAGTACTTTTGAATTAGTTCAAGTGCTCCAGTTTCCAAATAAGAGTCACAATCCAAGATAATTAAAATAAATGGAAGCAGGAATGTGTCAGGGCAATTCCAAATGAAAAGATTGAAGTCACTGGAGTTAGGAGGGCAAAAATTAGCCAGTATATAAATATGTGTCTGCATATGAAGCTCAGCTTTAAATGATGAGGAGGGTAAAGTTTGACTTTTCTTTTTCTGTGGAAAAAAAAAATGACACCTCATTGATGCAATAAAATTTAGTTAAGCATTAGAAAAAACATGATTGTAACCAATTTTTCCCTTTCAAACAGGCAGGAAGGCTATTTAAGTTTTAATTTGCTAATTATCATTTATTGTAATTTGACCATGCAGCTGGGGAAGGTAGACTCTGCTCATCCATTCCCGAAATGGGCGGCTGTCAGGCTCTAGAGTCAAGATAGTACTTATTAGTGGTTTTTTACAGCATGGGCAGAGTTCTTGTTATAGCTTGTAACAGAGGTGGATTAACAGCAAATAATCTTCAAGTCTAAAGCTGCAGCACCTCTTACCATATTCTAGAAATAAGTGAGTGTGTTCAAATAACCTTTGCTGGCGAGATTCTTCCCGTCTCATTCCGAAGTGCAGCCTTTAAGACTCGTATGACTGCCTGCGCCGCCATTTTGCGAACACGTATGCATGTCGTCTGACAGTGCGAGCCCTTAAACTCTGTAATGCTTCTGTCACAAATAAAACCATTTATGAGCACACACATTTGCAAAGATCAGGCTCCGTGATCATCAGCTCCACGCCAAGTTTCTTACGAATGGCTTGTTTTCCCAAAACACTTTAGGCTGAGGATCCCTATTATAAATCCCTAAGGATTTAGGATCCCTAATATAAATCTGCTTTAAACAGAAGATATTAATTTTTTAACGCAGACATTCTCTAATATTTTCATGATGTGGCTCATACCTTAATAGATAGCAGTTGCGATGCAGATCTAGCTGTGCAGCCCACAGTTGCACAACATATTTGCGGTAATAAGAACCCTCGCTGACATGGAAAATTAATATTAAGAAAATTAATGTAAGGAAAATCTGTAATGGGTTTTTGTCTGTGTCTAATGCAACTTAGCAGTTAGCAAAAGGAAGGAATTTAGTACCAGGTGAGTAGCCAACTCCTCAGAAATCATGTTTCTTTGACCGCATTTTAAGACCTGCTGTTTTGACTTAGCGCATCAGAAAGAATATCTGCTTTGTAAACAACAGCATGAAACATCTCACTCAGGATTCTGCCTGGCAATCTCAGCTGTCAGAACCTTGCCCACAAAAAACCGACCCCTTGGAGCAAGCGCTTTTCATGTTGGTGCCTTTTCTGCCTGGGGAAGTGTTTTGAAAGCTCAGAAACTTCATCAGGGCAGGACAGCAGATACCTACGTACCTACCAGTGGCAGTGTGAAAAGAACTGTTATCTTTTCACTGCAGCATCTGTCAAGTCCTCTGGCAAAAGAGAAGTAGCAGTTATCCCAGTAAGAAAGGCTGCTCTGCTTATTAATTGCATTTTCTAGGAGCGTAGTGTCATAGCAACACAGCAGCATGCAGACGCTGTTCAGTACAACAGAGGAAGAAATCCTGGATGGGGACTGACCTTCTCTGCCTCCCACCCCAGCCTCTTGTGCCTACTGCCCTCACAGCACACAACTGCCACTCCATCGGACAATGCTGATATTGGTATTGGCTTTTGTTCAAGGTGATCTGTAAAAGGCAGAGTGGATTAGATGTTAGAGTTTTTTGTCTGCTGCCTGGTTTTCTCTTGAATTGTGTATGAAGGAAGTCTTGCATGTTTTTCCCCTTTTTGCTGCTAGGAAAGTAGGTACTAAGCCTCTTTATTTCCTGGCAGCTGTGGATGTTAGAGATGATGGAAGCACAAGGTATTTCACATGAGGAATCAAGAGGTAAAGAATTCTTGGAAGAAAAGCCTTAATATTTTTTTTCCATTTTAGACAGCTTGAAACTGTTTAGCTTTGTTTAGCTCCTACCTAAATTCCTTGAAAACAATACTTAGCGAGAGGGAGGGATTTGTTGGTAAACTCTGTGTATTGCCTGCTATTTTTCAAGAACTGGGCACACTCCTAACAGCCTTCAGAGACCTCCCCGAGAGACAACACTTGCAAGAGGAAAGGTTGTATCTGACGGATAAGAAACTTGTCTGTGTGTTCAAATGAAAAGAGCAGAAGATCCAGATCCCTTATCTCCTTTCTTGCATGCCAGATCACATTTAGCATCAGGCCCAGTCTTGCAGTTGCTCATTGAAACCAGCCATGGTTGCTGATCTGCTCTGGGTGCAGAATCAGGCCCTGCCTTCCCTTCCTCCTTTCATTCCCATAGCCAAAGGAAGTGGAAAATGAAATTAAATCATTATCTGCACTTATTAAAAATGAAACAGATGCCAGAAGTCCTCTGAAAGTGAAAAATAATAATTATTTTCTAAAACATTTTTTTTCTTTGAGAAAAACCTCTGCTGCTCATCCTTTCGTTACTGACAGCGCATGTAGGCCCAGAGGAAAAGACTTGTTTTATCATGGAACTGACTCTCCTAGAAATCCTGAAGGACACATCAAGAAATGTTGTGAAGATCTTTCAGGATTTGGATAGCCAGTTTTACCCAGATCAGAAATAATTTATTCGCCATAGCTAATTCAGAGTTATGAATTACTAATTAATTCATCATAACTAATCTTTAACACTAGCAATGTGTTAATACAGCATCATCACAAATATTGGTGGTAGCTTGATTATGTTGTTCAGAAAGAATATATTTATAAAACATAAACATTGGTTTCCATTATGTCCTGTCCGTGCCCATCCGATTTATTTTCATACCCAAACATTTATGATAATTTAGCAGCATGCAGATAATTAATTCATATGCAAAGAGAAACAGAGTAATGCAAAATACTGTAATTTCCCCCCCCCCCCCAACTGATACCATTAAAATCAGTTTTTAGTAGTTCTCTGTGGGTTTTTTATATAGAGTAAATAACACATATATTTTTTGATACATATATATTACCCCCAAATCTATGATGTTTTGTGATTAACATGGTTGCATTTGTCATCAGAAATCGCAAAACATGGACTTGATCCAACTTATTTGCAGTTTTCTGTCACATAAATGCAGTAAAGGAATATATAAATATTATACTCACCATACTACAGAAGAAAGTTTTCTCTCTAGATTTTAAATTCTATACTTATTTCCACTAGAAACCCCTATTTTATCTTGCTTTACCATATTCCTTTCTCATCAGAATATTACTCTTTATATTCTCATAAAACATTCAGCAGACCCATAAAGATAAAAACATGCACAAAGAACAGATGACAAAAGTTTATATCAAACAATACATATCAAAGAGAAGAAACTCCCCTTTTGCTACCTCTACCTGTATATTTTAACATTAATCAAATCATTACTCTGTCGTTGCTAGCAGCCACGAATGGCTCGCATTCATTAATTTCTTCTCATTCAAAATGATTTTTATTAAATCCTTAACCATCATTATATCAAAATAATCTTCTGCTAATAAACATTTTAAAAAGTTGATAAAGTAGAACTTTAAGTTTTTGTTAGGTGAACTCAAAATGAAAAAAAAAAGAAAACATCACAAGAGAGGAAAATATAAAATCTCAATTAATCTTAACCAGAAGTCCAAGTAACGACAATATCAAACAGACTTTGCAATACCTAATATTCCCTGAAAATGTTTAAAATCCACATGTGAATAGAAAATAACTTCTCGCTTGACTTTGCTGACCCACAATTGTCAGTGGAATAAAAAGTTCAGTAATTCCTAAAGGTAGCGAAGTGTGATTTGCTCTGATTTCAGCTGAAATTATCTATTTATCTATATCTGTCTTTTCTCTCTTTAAGAAAGCAGAGAGGATTTGTTCGTTCATGGTCTTTAAAAACACTGTCTTATTTTCATTAAGCTAAGCCCACTGCTGATGTAATTCTTGCATTACAAAGGTCTTAATTTAAACCATGACATAAATGCTTTTCATCAGTTGATTTTTGTTCTTTGTGCCAAATTTCTTGCATTTTTAAAATAAAGAATATGGTGTATAATAACTGCTGCGGGACAGGCTGCTTTATTCTTCAATATGAAAGACAAATGGGGTGTGACATGCATACGTTTCAACATGCAGCACTTACTTCTTTAGGACCTTTACTTTTTCCCCTGTTTTCTCAGTAGACTATTTCACTTCCTTTGACTCGGGCCTAACGATAACACTGGATTTGAAGCACGCTTCTCGGCGTTGAGCACACTGACGGGACCCAGAGGTGAAAAGTGCTTCTAATCTCTCTCCTCTTCTCTCTCCCCCTTTGCCCCCCCTTCTCCCTCTCCCTGCCTTCATCTCCTTCCTTCCCCCCCTCCACTCAAGGATTTGGGGTCTGCAGATGATAATTTACAGAACGTTTTGGAAGCAGGGTGGGGATGCATTCCTAACACCCCAAATCCTGGTTTGCATTACACATTAGGGATTTCAAAGCACACCGAGATTTAATCATAATCAGAAAGTAGAGAAATAGCTTCTACAACATTCTGCAGCGTCAAGTCCTTTTTCTTTTTTCCCTTTAGTATCATTGTAACTAATATAGCAAAATTGTATTGTCATCGTGTCATACTATCATTGCAATGATCGATGAGCTATGCTAGTGCATCTGGGAAAACTGCATGACTTGTTTAGTTTGGGCATTATTTCGAGTTTAGAAGCTTGGTTAGTTTTTGGACAGAGTCAAAAGACACAGCTCCAGCTGTTTCTCTACTTAAACGTGAGTGTACAGAAGAAATTTTTCTTGATTAACATTACTACAAACAAATCACGATTACAATGGAAAGGATGGAAATATTTTAATTAAGCAGAAGTTTCAATGTGGTCTATGCTGAAACCAAATGGTAGTGTTAGTTCATTGATCTCCACAAGACAGTATTCTCAGATACAGAATAGATTTATAAAACCTCACATGAATTTGTAGAAATAATAAAATCTTTCAATGAACTCTGCATCTACTGCATTTCAGCAGATGTTGACCTGATACTCCTATTCTTGCCCTAGCTTTATACTTTGTCCTTAAAGAAATGCTTCTAAAATTGCTGAAGACAGGATACAGTGATAGATTGACCTTTAGTCTGTCAGCTATCTTGTATTAATTATGCAAGACATTAAATGAAATGGGAAAGGTATCTTCTTTTAGTCAGATTAAGTATCTGTAATTAATTAATATTAGTTGATGTAATTTAAATAGATTAATTTTACTTCCTGCATATTGGGCATTGCAATAAAATTGAAGCCAGAAGAATAAATATTTTTACTATTAAATACTTCAGACTAAAACACGTTGCCTATTTCTAAATTGCAGTCTATATCCATAAAGTTGGATACTATTTGGCTTTTTATTTTATCTTTTCTCATTTATTCACTTTATTGTCTGTGCAAAATCCTTTTATATGGACCCAAGCAGAAGAGGAGAGCAGGGTTATTCTTTAAGGGTGTGCTCATCTTTACATTTTTTAAACCTTTTTTGATAGATTTATATCAAGGCTGAAGTAATTCACCCTGGGACAAAACTTGGCATCAAAACTTTTAAATACAAGCACATTTCTCTTTTGATTTTGTTTTTTTTTTTCAAAGAAAATTCAGGAATCAGTCGGCATGTTCTTAAAGGCAAAGGTTTAAGTCCTGATCCATTTGAAGTCAATGCAAGTTTTGCCATTGACTTCAGTGGAGCCAGGACTTCCTTCAAAAGATGGAAACCAATTACATTTAGTATTTTCAGATGGAAAATTTGTGCTTGTATAAATTTAGGTTGTTTCTTTTGGGGGGGTACTTACTGTATAATCCATAGAAGGTATCTCTGGATATCTTTCTGTTAAGTGACTGTCTTTTTTTCATTAAGATAAGTAACAGTTCAACATATGTGGTTACTTAGGAAATTCCTCAGGATCTTTAGTGGAGTCTTTTGGGATAAGAGATGAAATCAGCCGTTGTCATTCATGACAAAGATCCCACATAATTTTTCCAAAGAGTTCGGCATGCCAATGAGGGTGGATAAGCACGAGTGATTGTATTTTGCCCATGCACTTTCCATCTGAGGTTTGGATCTGAGGTGGGACTTTTGCCTTTTCTGCTCTCAGCTGCTATCAGATATCATTTTGCATTTAGTAACTGACACCTTTAGCCAGGCCAGGAGAGAAGTAAACTGAGTTAACTTGCTTTGCTTCACAGAAAGATGAGGTTATCGTTGGTAAAATCCTGCTTGCTTTAATCAAAGGAGAAAACCTGACCCTCTGTAGAAGATGTTAAGGACTGCTTGTGTGAGGTACCTGCAGGATGAGACCTGAGATCCAGCCTCTCTCTCCCCCAGGTAAAGCTTTTCAAAAGAGATTTATTGTACTGCAAACCTGTTCTCACCTTCCACCTGGGGGTACAGCCCCAGTTGTGTGCAAGTATTAGTGACACTAAAGCTATCCCAGGTAGATGACATGATTTCTGTACAAGAGATGACTAGTTCAACCAGGTCTACCCCACACTTCCTGCCTCAGACCCTCTGACCCCAAGTGCTCCCTTCCCAGGGAGTTTAACTCCATGCATGGAGCCTTTGGGCCGAGCCCAGCTGCTGTAGAAAGGGCAGCTCCTTCCCTATCCCAGCAGGGAGGGACAGAGTCCGGCTCTGCCAGTTAGGACTGGTACTCCTGCAAGTATTTCGTGAGGTTAGAAATGGGGCCAGTGTATTGTCATAGTCTGGTCCGAGAGGTGAGCCAGCATTTAAGGCCTTTTTGGGTGTTTC